AAAAAAAAAAAAAATCAGTGGATGCTGAATTTTAAACACAGGAGATATGTCTCATACAGGATCTGCAGTCAAATCCTCACACTAGGTCCTATTCTTTTTAGCAGTCAGAGGTTGGAAATATTATAGACAGCTCCTTCATAGACTAGTTTAGGCTGAGTACTATACCAGCCAAAGTAGAGGCAAAGTCTTTAAGTAACAAGATACAATCTAAATGTGCCACCTCTGCCTCTCCATGGCTGGAAGGGGATTTACAACCAAGTCAGATCCAAAATGAGTTAACATTAAGACTATTTCTCTACCTAAAACTAATCATAGACAAATAATTATTAATGAGTATATCTATCACAGCTAAATATACTAATGTAACAACAGAAAAGCCAGGATATTCAAAACACTTGTGTGGGGCTATTTAGCTACTTTACTGCAGTTCCAATGAGTTAGACTGGATCACAGATAACCAGTTAAAATAATTTTTTAAAACAGCATTTTCACTCTGCAGGGGCAGAAGCAAAGTGACCAGACTCATGATCCTAATATGAGTTTCACACAAAAGGAAACCAATTTTTACCAGCACAATCCATTTCCATGTGCAGTCAGTTACTGAGACAAAAATGTGTAAACGGAAACGTTGAGACATGTACAGGAAATAGAGAATGAGATGGGGAAAGAAATGAATATGGGGGTAGGGATGGGAGGGCATACTTTGCTGAGAAAAAAAATAGCGATAAATAATCCAAGCAATAAGGTTACAAAGAAACACAGATGAGAGAAGTAAAACTGAAAAAGGAAGGAAGTAGTCAAAGAGAAATAGGCAGGGCAAAAATAACTGTGACGGGTCCCAACTTTGTTTCCACATATTATTTTCCCCAGCTAAGAATTTTTGTATTTAGATCACAAAGTTTAGGAGTCAGCTTCCAAGGAAGATTGCATTATAATAATTTGCTCAGTTTGGCTAATTCTATAACACTGTACACTGAAAGAGAGGATGTATTAGTTATGGGATGCTCAACCCACATTTAACCCCTCGATTCTTTCCCTAAATTTCAGTCAACATCGGAAAGATGATAAAAATATTAACCCACTGTAATAAAATGTGTCTGACTAAATTTTCATTTAAGAAAAAGTGTTTTTCCTGCCCCATTGTTTTCAGTAGGAAAACCCAGCCAATTAGCATTGTGAAAGATTAAAAGGAGGTCTAAAAGGTTTAAGAGATTAAAAACAGCAAACAGTTTATAAATACATAGAACTTTTTTGTGTAAGAAAGTTTAAGGTACAAGGGTTTACTATATTTTTCCCCAAGAGGCCAAATGTGAACCAAGAGAGTTCACACACACACACACACACACACACACTGTATATTCACACAGTATACATGAACTTACCTTTGCATAGTAAAATAGAATTGAAGTCAGACACCACAATGTTGCAGTAATAATTGATACAAAACACTGAATGCAGTGCAATGTGTAGCATTCATATTTTTCTGACAAATATTTTCACAAGCAGCCTTTTTGACACATGAGCCACACAATTCCACACAGGGATGCCATTGTAGCATTTACAAGTTTAGTAAAGCTAAGGATTTACATAAACAATTAGAGGAGTAAAAAAAGCAGGATGGCATGTGTCCAGTACACTCCAAAAGGGTGTCTGTTGTTTTGTTTTTGGCTAAAGCAAAAGCTTAAAGAACTAAGGATTTGCAAAGCAGATTCAGCAGACAGTAGCCAGAAACGGTGGGTATTTTGGCGCATGCTTGGATCAGGTGACAGTACAGACTGAAAACTATGGCAGCTCACTGAAATGGTTACAGAAAGTAATGGCCCTGGATTCTAGGTGGAAGCAAAAAGGCAAGCATACATAGCACTCAGTCACAAGCTTTTTCTAGCAAATCTATTAAATAGTTTAGCAAGGATTACTTAACACTTGGAACACAAATCTTTGCAAAAATCTATTGCTATTAAATTATTTTAGAGCAAAAGTTAATATTAAGATGTTAAGATTATTTTTATTAATGTTTCAAAATTAGAATGTTTATAACAAAGTGGAAACACT